TGCAAGCCCCGAAATCCCAGACTGCCAAAAACCTTCGAACAAATCTAAAGTGAAACTCCAGACCCGAGAAGCCGAAAGACTCGGAACGGCTTTGGTGTCCAGTGGCTTCGGAACCTGCAGGGTGTTGAAGCCTGAAACTCCAACCCCTCCGCTGCAAGAAGCCCAGAACTCCGTCCAAGCCCTTTGCAACAGACCTTCCACCCGCTTTCAAAACCCACAGCAACCTCCCACCTCAGGATGGGGAAGATCTCGGTGGTCACCGCCCCCAGGAGGAGCTGGCGCGGTGTACGGGTCAGAGTTCAGGGTTTGGGGTAACTGAGATACTTTTTCCTTCAATCAAAAGGAGAAGTTATGGATACCGTGTAAGCGAACTCTGCTGACTCGCGGTGTAGTTCATGGTCAAGGCTCTATGCTTGGAGGCTTTAGTTCCCGGTCCGGGTGGCCTGGGTTTGGAGCGGAAAGGGCCTGAGGACTTGGGCTCGAGGCTTCCAGCGTGGGAAGGTTTCGGGGTTGACGGTATGTCGTACGTCGTGACACCTGTCGGAATCAGTCTCAGCTCGGCTTGCTTCAGTACGGTAACTCGCACTCTTGTCACTGTGCTGCTGCTCCCTTCCGGCCCAACAAAACTCGAATAAAAAACCTTCAGCCTACAAGCATCTCAACGGGGCCCCTTCAGTGAGAGGCCTTCTAGCACTCTCCTTTTTGAATCTTGTGGCATTCCCTAGCTCCATGAGAAACCTCCACGCCGACACCTTGCAAAGCCTGAAGGCACAAAATGGTTGTCTGAAGAGAGGTTTTGGTCAGGCTGGGGCAATCGTGAATTCATGGATTAGGGTATTAGGGTACAGGGGCTATGGAAGCGAGTACAGGGTGCTAAAGCATTAGTGATAATCTGCCGGCAAGCAAAACTAGCCCAAATCCGTGCAAAAACAAAAGCTACAAAAAGTCCCTAGTTGTCGCACAGCAAGACTCTCTTCATTTCATGGACTTTTTGGGGATCCCTCCTTTCTTGGGCCCGCACCCCGGCCGAGAAGTGTTGCAGCCGGGCCTCCAGGCGCTCCGACCTGGGCTCCGAGGGGCTCTGTCTGGCGCTTCGCAGGGAATGGGGGTTATAGGGACTACTATACGGGACCTTAAGGGACTATCATAGGGATCCACTCCCCCATTCCCTACTAAGCACCAGACAGGGCTTTGGAGGAATCTTGGAGGGTTTACTGACTCGAAGGGTTCCTCGAAGGGCCCGGTGAAAGAGGGGCTCCTTGGGGCTTGAGGGGCAAGTTGAGGCGGGTGGTTTTTTGGGAGTTAAAGATGTCAGCCATTAGGTACGTTCAGAGTTTACGGCTACGGTTGAGGGTGTTCCGGGATTTCAGGCCCTGGATCTCGGGTTTTTTGGTTGTCGTCAGAGCCAAAAGCACTGGCGAGGGAAGGGCTCAGGGGGGCAAAAAAGGGGCTTGGTGCTCTCTGATGCAACTCGGAGCAAGGCCCTCCGGGCTGCAAGGAGTCGATGCTTCCAAGTCGAGACAGGCGTCTCATTGGTTCGGGTTTCGGGCTTCTGTCAGTGCATCACAAAACCATCACTCCGGAGATCAAGCCATGTGAAGCCCTCAACGAAATCAAGCACTCAGAACGCCACCAAGCCCAGATCCAGCAGCCGTGAACCCAGAAACCCGGAAAGACAATGATCCCACGAACGAAACTCTGAAAGCCTAAGCATCCCTCCACAACACAGGGATGCCAAACCCCGTTGACAATGAATATCGGACAGCTTTAAGCATTGTGACAGAACGAGAACAGCGAGCAATGATTGGGAGAGTACAGTAACACCACCGGTGCTAAGACCAACCTGGGACCCGAACCCTAAACCTTAAACTCAAACCTCATGCAATGTCTCCTGGCAACCTTTTGTAGCACTAGCCAGCCTGAACCATGAAACCCTTTGCTGGAGCCGATGGATTTTTGGGGCCGCCCGCGGCTGTCCCACCGAGACGGCCATGGAACCCATCGTCATGGCCTCGTCTCGAAGGGCTTTGGCTTTCTTGCTTGAAGGCTTTCGGGGGCAGGGTTCTGGTGTTAGGGATATAGGGGTGGGGTGGGAGCTTTCAGGCGTTCACAAATAGGACGGCTCAGGGCATCTGGCTCGGGCCTACGAGGCTTATGGTCAAGTTGCAGGGTTTTCGGACGGCCTCTGAAGGTAAATGAGAGCCCTGTAGCATCTTGTAGCATAAATCTTCATTCTCCATCTTCGGCAGCAAGTTCTGCTAGCTGAGCGCAGGGCGACTGCCGGCAAGGCCGTGATGAGACCCACCTCCGGGGTTCACGTGCTCACGGACGCAGGACCCAAACTGTTTAGGTGTTGCACTCCCAAGTTACATGTCCAGGATTGCGAGGTGAAAAGAATCTACTGGAAGATCCTCTGCTGCCCACTCGTGACATTGCGGGTTCGAGACCTCGTGCCGGAGCTTCGAGCTTCCTGCTTCCCTCAAGTTTGAGGGTTTCTGGTGTTGGACTGAAATTAGCTACCGAGCCCCCGCCCACAGAGCCTGAGACAAGGTGGCCGCATTGTCCTAGCGAGAGGCTCGGCAAAACTGGGGGAAAAGAAGTCAAGGGGTCCTGGTCTTGTCGGCATTATCAAACATGCTAAGATTCGGTTTGATCATGGTCCGCAAGCTTTGATGAGACGCATGTCCTTGAATCTTACTCCATGTCCAATCAGCCCACGAGTGCTGCTCCAGAAAGCTCCCAGCCATTGTTGGCACCAGGACTCAAAAACAAAGGGGGAGGTGTTTTGTGGACCAATGGAGACAAGACTTCTCAACTCAGCCCTACGAGTAAATCCTGAACCCAAAGTCCTCCTCCATTGTGTCGGGCGGTTCTATGCCATCGCTCGCGGGAATCTGTGTATAGGGTGCTGGCCGCCCAGACCCTCAAGCAAACCCTGGACGCCCAGGTGCCCGAATAGCAGGGCGAGATTTCGAGCACACCCTAGTCTCAAACGCAGCTATGCCTGGACGCTGTGTAGCCTGTGGTTGCAAGCTGCGGCCAGAAGCCCAACATGGCCGGAATGCGCGAAGATTCTGAGTTCACCTCAATCCGACACCCCAAAAAAGCCCCGCGCCTCAGAGTTGGTAGACCTCAATCCCAAATCTCCGACTTCCCCCGATGCTCCCAAGGTAATAGGGTGAAAAGTACCTAGGATGATAGGCTTGTTCCGACTGATTTGCGAGGTTTCGTTCTCCCGCAAATACTTTTTCAATGGGTGTGCGTCAGCTTCTTTTCCCTTTGTCAAGCAACTCAGTGAGAATGAGGGATGAAAAGGTGGCTGACGGCATTGGCCCATGTGGTCCAAAACCGATCCATCGCGCCAGCATCCTTCTCTATCGCGTTTACGCATAACGGTGTAGAATTGGTCGGATTTACCTGGACTAAGGCAGCAGAGTGGATCTGGAAGCTGCCGTTCATGCCAATCTTTTTCTTCTTCATAATCCGGATATCTTTCCCTCCCACACATCTAGCCTACTCACAGGGTCAGGGTATGCTGCAACCAATTGGATGCAGGGTCGCAGAGTTCTTCAGGATTCAAGCGACTGGTTTCGTGGCATTGGAATATGATAAACGAAGATCATGAATCAAGAGCGCACATCTTCCTACCTGCCACAGCATCCAGAGTTTCTACCCAGGTGGGCGTCGAGGCTTTGCATGGAGAAAGAAGCACATCGCGGTTTCGGAGGCGATCCGCTTTTATGCTGCCTCACGCAGCCAATCTTCGAACTTCTTCGAATGTGTCAGAAGAAGCTCGCTGCAAGGATGACTCAGGGCAAATTGCAGGGGCTTTAATGCTTATGGCCTCTTATGTTGCAGGGTTTCCGGACGGCGTCTGAGGGTAGATGAGAACCCTGCAGCATAGATCTTCGATGACGCGCTGGTGGGATCCGGTCCAACATGGCCGGAATGCGTGAAGATTCTGAGTTGGCCTCAATCTTAAAACCATGCACCCTGAACCCGACACCCCAAAAACACCCCACGCCCCAAGTCTAAAGCCCGGAGGGTTTTCAGGCCAAATCCTGCGACCCAAAGCGCCAAAAGCCTGCTTAAATGCATTTTTAAATGCACATACGAGTACACACAGTATTTTCTCTGCAATATGCGTGTGCAGCGTCGCCTGAAGCCTAAACGGGACCCATGTGCACCCCAAGGGCGGAGCAGTAGAACTTGTAATGTTTCAGGACATAAGGCCTACAAGGCTTGGAGCTTCGAGCTTTTGCCGACATCCTCGGCGCACGAAGTTGGGTCCAGCTAAAATCGAATCGTATGCCCGGGGGTTGTGCCAAAGGCGCGCCTCTTTTTGGTCTTCGAACGTGTCGTTCAATTCTGCCTGCCCTGACCCGAAACCCCAATCCTCAAACATAAATCGAAAAAGCCGAAAGTCCGACCAGTGTGCAAAAACACTCTTTTCATCTCGAAGGTAGAACAACCCCCAGGTCCAGCCGAGGCGATTCCTGACAAGGGCTTTGGCAGCTCTAAAGATAAGAAAACAACGGCGAGACTGCGCGAAACGATCCAAACGATTTAGGTGCAGAGTTTGGGGCTCAAGAGAGCTTCGGACTTCGAAGATGCTGATTGGATTCCAACAAATGCCGGGCCGCGAGCTTTGACTTTGGGCTTTAGGCTTTAGGCCACTCCACCCTAGATCACAGCACTCTGCCGATGTTCTGGGACCCTAGATTGCAAGATCTACGTAGCATCGAAAACAGAGTAATAGGTACCTGGGAGCTTACTTACACAGACCCGGATGCCCAAAAAGTCATGTAAACCCCACAAAGCGACCGGAGTTAGTGCTGCCGCTCTTTCCACAAGGAAACACCTCAGGCCGGATGTTTCATGGAGCTCCATCGGAAGATCGGACATCCAACTCCCGCGGACTCAAATGGCGGAAACTGGGGTCCAACAAGGGCTCCAAACAAAGCCTTTCAGGCTGTGGCTGAAGGGAAGTGGCCCGGGGCTCAGACGGTTTGGGCTTTCTCCATGCCGTCCGAGTCCATGCAGCTGCTGATCAGGGCGATCCTGGGTTTCTAGGGAAGGGATGGGGTGTGTTGATCTGGAGCCAAAGCCAACAACCTGAATCACTGGGCTGCACCGTCCAAATGCAACTTCGGATCTAGCCGTGCTGACAAGCAGCACCACCACCAAGCAAAATGCTGAGCCCAATCATGATGCCAGTAGCAACAGTCGCAACAGCAGCAGCAGCAGCAGCAGAAATAGCAGCAGTAGAAGTAGTAGCAGATGGTGTTGCCATTATCGTCAAAACTGATGTCATCACCGTCAATATGATCGCCATAGTTCGGGACGTGGGGGTTAAGACTCAGGGGGTGAAGGCTGGGCGTTGCTAGGGGCTGACGCACTACGGTTGGAAACAGAGCCCACACGAAAACACGAAGTCTGAAACCCCAACAACTAATCCGCAACCCCCGAACCCCCGAACCCCAACCCCAAAGGCGTCTAAGCGTCTGCTCCAAGAGAAGGTTGGCGGCGGCCATGGCCGTGATCCCGGCGTGGTCGTAGGCGGGCGCCACCTGCGACGTTGCGAGCACCCATGTCCCTGCACTTTCATCTAAACTTCAACAAAAGTGGGACTTTTAGTTTTGCTACGTTATGGGCAGCGTTGTGACTTCGCCCGCTGTCGCCAACTGAAGTACTTGTTGTGGCCTGGAGGTTTGCAAGCTGCAAGCACTGTAGGCCTTTCGGCTCACAGCACAAGGCTTTCGGCTCATTTCGGTTGTTTGCGGCTTGCAAGGAAGGGACCTTCTGCATGAAGACTGTTCCACGAGGTACTCTCCTCTGAGAAGCCTGCTACCTACATGATCCTGAAAACCCGAGACTTCTGACAACCCACAACCCAAACCCGAAACCCCAGGAGCCCTGACATCTCCGGGCCTCGACGACATCGGCGCCAACAATCGGCAGCCCCTTCCTCCGCGCGCTTGCGGGCTGCTCTACAGGAGTCGTCAGATCTATGCTCACAACATGGCGCTTGGGATTGGGGCTCAAGCTTCAAGTCTTAACTCTCCGGGGGCTCCCGGCATACATGCACAGGCAAAGCGGGAAAGGGCTCCAAACAAAATGATCAGCCCAGCATCAGGCCCCGGATAAACTGCAGAAGCTGGTGTGCCAGAAGGCCGCCAAACCTCGACACATCGTGTTGAGGCTTGTTTAACCATCCGGGCTTCGGGTGAACGGCTTACTGGATTCAGAAGCTGCAAAAAGGAGCCGGAACACTCCTCAGGATGAAGAGCTCACATGCACCCAAGAAGGTCTGAAGAGCAAGACATCCCGAAGGCAGCGCTGCACGCTGAAAAGCTTTATAAGGGGCGTCGGCAAATGCCATGGAAAGCAGAAAATTTGGTGTGTGTTTTTTGTCTTCTCGTCGATTCCTGCTGCCTCGAGACTCCGGTGTCCCCGTCCCGGGAGCCACGGAGGGATCCAAGACGTCGATGTCCTGGCGGCGCAGGGCCCTCCCCACACCCCTTTTTGGACAGGCTCCCTCTTTTTTATGTGGCTTTGAGCCCCGGGACGCTTCTTCCTGGGTGGGGGTTTTTGGAGTGATCCGGGGGCAGGGAAGTGTGGCCTCCTTTGGGCTTTGGTCTCAGCTTTCAATCTCTCTGTCGCCTTCTCCCTGCAAGTCTTACCATCTTTTTCAGTTCATGGTTCTGCGGGTTTTGGAGTCCAGGCTTGGGTCACCCCCCCGAATGTCCACGGAGAGGTAGACCGGCGCATTGCCAGACCGCCGCCAGCGATTCCAAACCGCCTGAACGTTTGGCTTTCTCGGGGCCCGGGCTCTCAGTCAGGCTGTGGGCTCAAGCGGTGGCTTGTTTTTGGAGATTGTCTCAGAAGAAAACCACCACGTGGAGAAGGAGCGAGGAGTTCGACTCTCGGCCGAGCCGAGACGCCGAGACCAGGGGGAATTTACTGTTGCTGGGGTCTTACGGCCGTGGCCGCAGCGACTCGTATCCCCCTAGTAAAACTTATTCCGAGCATCAGGGCAAATCACCCCGTAACATGGCCAGTATGATTGTTGCTGGCATGATCATAATGACTCATACCGGTTGTTGATAATCAATGTCACCATGACCTGAACCCCAAACCCTACTGATTCCTACTTGCATTTTTAACATTACTACTCATGCAACGACTACTTCTCCACTCCACCTCGACACAGGCCGGAACGCCACGCTCGTGGACGTCCTGAGCGGATCCCCAGCCTTTCCTACTTAGGTGGGCTTTGGGAACTTTCGGGCTTTCATGTCTCGGATTCTTGGAAGGCTTGGACGGCCTTGGGGCCAAGGAGCTCCAGGCGTTCGATGGCTTTGGGATTCTCTTGCATTTCACCAGCCAAGCGACAAACTGCTGCTCTGCAAAACGAAAAACTCCCAAGGCCCCTCGCGCCCGAAACTAAGGAGAACAAACACCTCAAAGCTGTTTTCACGCTTGAATCCGGAAGCCCCAGGCCCAGGCCAGACTGCTCCCCGGCGATCCTCGGCCGTCAGCGTCGCAATGCCCATGTCTTCGGAGTCGTGGAAATCCTGCAGCAACGTTTTCGTTTAGGGTCCGGGGGGACACTTTGCAGGGTTGAGGCTTTGGGGCTGGCGGCTTCACGGGCTTTGCTGTAGAGGCCATGGTGGAGTTCGGTGGACGGGGCTCACCGGCTTGGGAAAAGCAGAGATTGAAGTGGAGTGTTTGGATGGAGAGAGGCGCGGGATGCAAAGACCCCAAAGGATCCTCCAACCCTAGATGTGAGCTTTACAAGCCTCACTAGACTCACTTCGCTGTTTCTGCAAGGCCCCGTAACTAAAAGGCTCATGGATGAAGAACCGGATGTGGTGTATCCCGGCCTTCTCTTTGAGCCGTGTTCCACGTTGAACCCCAAAGCCGCAAACCCAAAAAACCCTCAACTCCCCAAAATATCCCCCAAAGTTCCGCACCCGACTCCTCCGCCGAGTAGGTCGTGGCTCGGATGCCAATGTGAGTGGAGCCGTCCTCTTTCGGGTCCCAAAAAAACTCTCGAAACTCTGGCGCTTCGAGGCTTACTGGCATTTGCACAGCTAGGCAGCTGGGATCTGCCATGAACAAGCGTCGTGTTAAACATCTGTGGTGCTCACCTCGGGCGACGCCGACAAGCTTGGTTGGCTACCTCAAGACTGCAAAGCTTCTATGTATATATGCAGATATAAGAAGGTGTCTATTTATGTGTGCGAATTGTGTGGAGGGACGGGGGGGTTGCTGTACGCATGCATGTGTTCATGCAAGCCCAAACAAGCCAAGCCAGGCAACAGTAAAACCGGAAGTCCCATACAGGTTGTCTGGAAGAACCCCTTGTCTAACGCAACCCCTTGTCTGACAAACCCTTGCACAACCCCTCGTCGAAAAGACGAAAGTACCTCACAGGAAGCCCGGTCTAACCAAAACTCCGAATTTCTTGTTCACCACACGGGCAGTGTCTAAGATAACATGTATATGTATACTACTCACTAACCCTCCCGAAACTTGGATGTAGGGTGGGAGTTAAGGTTCGGGGTTGTGGATGAAGGACCAGCAAAGTATGAACACCCAATGCCCTCAGCCCGAAAAGGTCTCAACACTGCTGCAAGGTTTCGCATGAAAATGCCGCCTTAAAGCCCAGATCCTGGCTCAAGATTGTGGATGTTTCAGTGGGAGCCGCACAGAAGCACTTTAAGGTCCTTCTGCCATGGACCCTTGTCGCAATCCCGAAGTTCGCAAACCTAAAATAGTTTCTGCTTCTCCTGTGAAAGCCCCAATTCGGAAGCGTCCTTGGCCAGCAGCCCCTCCTCCCAACAGTTGCGGAAAGGAGCCCCATGCCAGACGTGCTGACCGTACCTTTGCCGAGGGCGCTGGATTACAGGACGCTGTTTCATCTGCCGGCGCATGGAAGGCTTATGGTTTAGAGCACTCAGCACTGGATCCTATGCCCGACAGTATCCTAGACCTTAGATCACTGCTGCTTTGCACAATTTAAAGAAACTCGGAATGCGCTGAAGTCTTGCAGAACTTCCGAGTCTGAGCCCGGACTCCTAGGACTTCTGGGATCAGCCACTGCTTTTCTTCTTCTCTAGACCCTTCAGGGTCTTGAGCGTCCCCAAACCCCAAACCCCAATTAGGAATCTTTCTTCCTAGTTGTGGTCTCTGATCGTTCGCAAAGCGGAACCTGAAACGCAGTACATCCCAGCTCTGACAGCCTGCCGCTAGGCGCTCAGCGCCTTTACCGCGCCCTCTCAAGTTTCGGAGCATTTTGAGGCAAGCTCTAGGTCCTAGGTAGCAGCCCAACCTGAAGCCTCGAAACCAAAACGAGCCGGAATGGCAGGAGACCTGATAATGAATGTTTTGCGGTGAGATGATTGTGGTAATGACGATTGGCATGCTGCTTCTGATTATGGTTTCCTTGCTGTTCGTATCAGATTTTCCTATTTTGGCTTTCCCTGCATTATTAGTGACATCAATGCTGCTACTGGAAGCACTGCCGCCTGCAGAAGGGATGCGTCTCGCCGCTGATGGAATACATTCCATGTTATTTTCGCTGTGGCAAAGCATGGGAACTATGCCAAACGGGAAGAGTTTGTAAACATTCATTATTGCGGGCAGTGCCGGGTTGTATTTATGAATCGCGGGAACAACAATGGCCAGGGAGCATGGGCGGAAAGGTGTCCAAGTGCGAGTCAAAGTGCACCTGTGTCATCAGCTCCATGCTGATTTAAAAGAGGAGGAGGAGAGCAAAAAGCATCATCATCCTAGCCCTTGGGTTTTGATGGGGCTCAGTTCAGGGGGGCTGGAGACTGCGTGTCCCAATCCAGAAACTCCCGGAGCCAGCACACCAGCACCACGGGACCAAACTTCTCGGCCACCGCTTTGATAACTGGATAACCTTGGCTTCGGCAGCACAGCACGGATACCTCAACGTCACCGTAAATTCACATACAAAACACATAGACTGTTTGGTGGTTGAGGCTTGGGGCAGACAGCCAAAGTCAGACCTGACGACCTGGCCTAACCTTTTGAGAACGAAACCCCAACCTGCAACCGAACCCGAAAGCCCAAAAACATTTGAAGACCTGCACAACTCAGAGACCCTCGCCGGGGCACTGAGGGTGTGGTCACCCCCCACGACGACGAGGCGCCGCGCCATCTCGAGCCTCTGCTTGCAAGCTGCATGGATCTCCTGCAAAGCTCGGAGGAAAAACTGCCGGTGCTACTTCGTAGTGAAAAAGCTCCAGGTCGTATGTAAGTATGTATCGCTGCACATCAGATGATGCATGCACGTGTGCCTGACTCATGTATGCACGTAGATGAACATGCCTTACAGGTGTATATGCATAAAGGTGGCAAATGTATGTAGGTCTGTATGCACGCATGCATGCCTGTGCATTCTGTGCAAAAAACCTATGCGTACTTGTATGCACATGCGAGCGTACACACGTAAGCACGTAGTGAGGTGTGTGCGTGTGTGTGTATAAAGGTGTATAAATACAGACAGAATTATACATATATATATATACACAAATATCTGTATATGTGTACATGTATGTATGTATGTATGTATGTATGTATGTATGTATGTATGTGTAGTTTTTTGCACACGCAGGGCTCAAATGTTGGTGCCGTCTGCACCGGCATTTTCAGAGTCGCGTGAGAGGATTGCAGCAAGTTTGCATCTACCAGAGTATAAGACCGTGTGAGGTAACATAATACGATATGATAAAATGCGCTACAAGCTAAAAGGAAAGACAAGAATAGAAGAGAAGCGACCGGAACAGACCAGACAATGATCACAATATAGCACAATGAGGAACAAGATAATTTAACATAAGATGACAAAACACCATGTAATACATCTTACTACAACTGGATGGGATAGGATAGAAGAGAATAGACTACAGTGTTTGTGCGTGTGTGCCACTTGAGTCCGTGCTCACATGCATGCACGTACACGCATGGGCATGTGCACACGTACATGTGGCATCTAGTGTTCGGCGGTACCCTGTGTATCTGTGGGGACTGTGTATGTCTGCTCAATGGTTGATCATCCTGCAGTCGCTCGAAATTTCCCTGTTGTTTGCAAATATTAATTCTAGGGTTGGAGTACGGGCATAGCCTTACGAATAATAGGCAGCTCGATAGTCCCGTTGAGTGGGAGCCGAGTCCCATGTATTGCTATAGGTCTTCAGGCGAATCCCATCCTAAATCCAGTGTCATACGTCTTCCCAGGATTCACGAGTTTCATGTTTCTTTGAATCCCCCAAACCCCGAACCGCGAATGACAAACCCCCACGAACAGTCTGTCCTCCACGGCCTGTTGGATGTTGAAAGGCGTGGGGGACGCATCGCCTGTGTCCACCACTTGCCTGGGAGCCACGGCTTACACTTCAGGGTTTGGGATTCAAGATTGGCCCTTCGAGGTCTTTGGTGTTGGCTTTCGCCGACGCAGTATAGTGCACAAGGCAGAGATTGATCTGTTTCTGGTGCAATCGTTCCGACTCTGGCGTGGGCTGCCAGGCTTGAGACGAGGCAGCGAAAGAAAGCTCCGAGTTTTACGGTGCGAAAGCCATCGAAAACGAAACCCTGCAGCTCCAGAGAGCCTCAAAACAACGGACCCGACCCTCCCTGGCCTGTCCAGCAGCGGGCGTTGCTGCTGCGTGATCCTGAGCTGTCAGGAAAATGAGAAGCACCATGTACCAAGTCATAGCACCCCCTTGCTTCGCAATCTGGTGAGACTGGTGGGTCCCGCCACCCTGACCGAGCTGCCCTCCCTGAATCTGTCAGCTGGTGCGAAACAGCTGACGGTCGGGCCCAGGATTCCGAAAGAGCCGAAAGCTGGACCCAAAGCGATTCGCCCAGCCTCTTGCGCCCCTCGAAAAGCCTGCAGCATCTCAAAGTCCCTTAGCCCGAGAACCCGCCCCTGCACATCCAAGCCCTCATCCGCCGTTTAACCCTCCAGAACACGGCCTGAAAATGGAAGATGACTCCTACATGGGAACCCACCCTCAGCCCTAAGCCCCAAGCCCTTCCACTCAGAACTCTGGACTCTCTGAATCCTTTACGAACCCCCAAGATTTAAATCCACTCAGACCGTCCGACAGACAAGAATTGCAAACCCGACACTCCCAACCACTCAACCCTCAAGGTTTCAACCCCCAAACTCCCAACCTCTAAACCCCCGAACCCCTCCCCCACTTTGGGCCCCCATCTTTCTCTCAAAGGCGCATGTAGGGCCGGATGAGCCGCGAGTTGCTGCGGATCGCCTCGGGGCCGAAACGCGCCCCCGGGCGGAAGCCTCGGGCTCGGCTCCGGGAGGGCCGTTCTCTACGGCCCCGCCCTTTCTAGGAATCTTTCTAGCTGCCTGTCTGTGTGCGTATATATATATATACATATACATATACATATATAGATATATACATATATATATATACCCATATATATGTATATATATATATATACCTGTAGAGGTTATGTAGCTATAACTATATGTGTATATAACTAACTGTGTATATGTATATAAAGATAACGTTATATATGTATATGTGTATATATACATATACTTCGAGAGATATTTATACACATACCTATATATATATATATATACAGACATACGAAAAAGACACAGTAGTGCTAGCAAAAGCAGTACTGCAGTAGCCCGGGTTCACACATCGGGCGTTCAAGCTGAGGAGCTGCAGCCGGAGTCGAAGGGAACACCCAGGAAGGCGATGTCGAACTGCTCTCTCGGCATGCCTGGATTCAAGGGCTCTGGGTGCAGGGTATGGGGTTTTGGATTTCAGGTTCCGCTGTGAGGCTTCGGGCCAAGAGTTTGGGGCTTCGTTTGACCTTATGACTCTTTGAACTCCTTGGATATGGTTTGCACCCCGAAACGGCCCCCAACCCCCGAAACCAGCCCTAAGCCCTCAAAGACAAGGACAGGCCAAAAACCGTTCCAAAGGCTCCAGGCGAGGCTCGAGTGAGGCGCAGGTCCACGGCTCCTATTCGATGCCAGCGGCCCGAGGGCAGAGCCCAGAGGCCCAAAGTCCTCGGAGCCAGGGCAGAGGCCCGCGGGTTGGGTTCAAACGAGGCTCTGGAACTTCAGGGTGTGAGCAGTGGTCTCGTTTCAGGTGTAGGGCCCGGCCGGGATTTAGCGTTTCAGAATTCTTTCCCCTTCGGCGTCGGGGATTTGCGCTCAGGTTGCCAGGAGAGTTCCCTCTGTGTTGCAAATTGAGGGCTTCCATGATTTTATACCTTTTTCTGGAACCTTCGGGGACGCTCTGCGTCTCCTCGATTCTCCCTAAGCCCCGAGACGGCTTCTTGTCGGCATGACCGCCACTGAACCTTAACACTCAGACCCCAAACCCAAGGCCACAAGAGTTCGGAAAACCCCTAACACAGTACCCGGCTAGAGGCTTCGGGCCGTTTTTGCCCTCCCCTCGAGCAAGACCACGCTGCGAAGAGCTAGATTCAATTATGCGCACACACACACACACGCACACACGAACGTGTCTGCGGAGACATAAACTTCGTTCATGTATGCGCAAGTTGACAAACAGATATACAAAAAAAGCATGGACATAGATAATCATGTAGGTAGGTAGGTCGGTAGGTAGGTAGGTAGGTAGGTAGGTAGGTAGGTAGGTAGGCAGGTAGGTAGGTAGGTAGGTAGGTAGGTTAGGTAGGTCGGGTATGTATATGTACGCGTGAATGTATGTATGCATGTGCATGTATGGCTGGCTGGCTGGCTGGCTGGATGGATGGATGCATGGGTGGATCGATGTACATATATACGAATGTATACAGGCAAACAGGCACACATACAGAGTGTATATATATATATATATATAGAAAGAGAGAGATGGAGATATATATATATATATATACATAGAGAGAGAGAGACAGAGAGAGAGAAAGAAAGAGAATACACATATGTATATATATATATACAAGTACAAACACGAATATAGAAAATGTACATGTGCATGTTTATACACATGTATATATACATACATACATACATACATACATACATACATACATACATACATATGTACATATATATATATAACACATATATACAGAACACGCACATCTATATGTTGTTTGTATGTATGTATGTATGTATGTATGTATGTATGTATGTATGTATGTATGCAAGTATGCATGTAAGTATGTATGTATGTACGTATGTATGTATGTATGTATGTACGAGTATGTATGTATGTGTGTATGTATGCGGAGAGAGAGGCACAGACAGAGAGATGCATGGATAGATGAAGCAACCTGCAGATAGAGTACATACATGTCCTCGTTGACCTACATCTCTCAGCATGTCTAAAGACTCCCTTTTGTGTGTTTTTTCGCTTTTATATCATGTCGCACATCATACCACACTCTGGATACTGCCATGACCAGCAAGACAGTTCTCATCGCTGTCAGTGCAGAATCGTGGCAACACTCTGCTGTCAAAGATCTTCTGACCACCATCTGATCGGATGTGGACCTGTTGCTGGGCAGGCAACAAGGACAATCGGCGATGACTGGGGTCTTGCCGAGGCGTGTTTTGGGTTCAGGATATTAAGTTTTTGGGACTTCAGGGGGAGACAATAACACTGTTGGGAGCTTTTCGCCTCCTGGAAACAGCTGCTGCTTAGAATGTTCAGAATCGCTTGCCTTCCCTGGTTTCAACACTTCCTCTGCACTTTAGTTGAAACCTCCCTTCCACAGGGTTCGTCACAATACCGGCATATCTAACACTCTCGCTCCTGGTTTCCATGCCTCGTTGCACGAAGCCGCCTTCAAAGCCACAGAAAACCGCAGACTGCCCGAGGATCCCAGGACTCAGCGGCTACGCTACTGAGCAAGGTGAAGCAACTACAATGACTCGAAGACTCGAAGTCCAACTAGAGTTATCCGTGAACTTTCAGGCGGCTCCTGCGAGCTGTGTAGGATGTATCCCGGAGAGTTTGAGTTTCGGGTTTGGAAACATGCCACCTAGCTCTGCCAGCATGTGGCGGATAGCGCGGACTACTCCCCCATTCCAAAACCCACCAGAGGACCAACGACAAGCTAGGAGAACTGCATCACAATAATGTGGGAACTTGATTAAGAAACCTTGGGCCTTTATTAGGGGTTCTTAATATGAACCCTAATATAATATTGGGGCTATAGGGCCAGGGTTTCTTAATCAGGTTCCTACATTACCGTCGCCGCGCGGCGCAGCCATCCTCACAGGCCACTCGCAGCGACAGAGTCGAAGAACCCACGTCCTTCTTAGCGACGGCCGTGGCTAGCGCTTCATAGCGTCTCTAAGAGGGGGCTGCTTCTTAATGTTGGTGGTATAGGGTTTCGACTTTTGGATTTCGGCCTAGTTTAGGGTCCTGGTCTGGGTTTGTGGGCTTAGGGCTTTAAAGTCTTGGGTTTAGGATCTAAGGCTTGGCACGGGCTGTTGTTGGGGGATGTTGGATTTCTTCCACAGAGCTTTGGGTTTAGGGTGTCGGGTTCTGGCTCTTGGACGTCGCATAGGGTCTAAGATGTCTAGGGATACCCTATCAATCAGACTTTGGTTGAAGCCTTTCTTTCCTACTTCCTTTACTGTGACCAGCGCTTTCCAAATTCCCCGACTTTTGGGCTTGATAAAAAGAAAAGCACCCAATGTCAGAATCCTAAGCTCTCGGGAAAACCCGATCGACTGCACAACTCAGCACTCAAGCGCCGAGGAAAGTGGCTGGGAGATAGGACCCGCATATAGACATCCCTTGCTGCATTGGGTTAAGGCTCGGCAGGTGGCAACCCTCTTTCAGGAAGTCTTCTGCCTTTCCAAAAACCTGCCTTGGCGGCTTAGACTTCCCGTTGTCGTCCGAATCGAAACCGGAGCCCCTTCAGAGCTTCGGGCTTCCCGGTTGCTTCAAGCTTACTCGGGCCGCAAGGTGGTGGAGCGTACCCCGAACCTCCTGCATCGTGCATCGTCAGCTTGGAAGAATATGTCTACGCTTCAACAGCCCGATAGTCTGCATAGCGACCATCACCTCGGCCAACCTACAAGAAACTAACCCCGGATCATGCCGAAACCCCAAAGCGGACATCTACAGCAAGCCCCCCAAAAGCGCAAGCCCCAAAACAAAACCCAAACTTCAAGCGCCGCTTGCAGGGCACATGCCAGGGGCCGCTCAACGACACCGTGCTGGCAGCACCGGAAGCCGAAGACCTCACCTCAGAGTTCGGGCCAAGTGGGCTTCAAATTGATTCAGGGCCCTATAGAGCCTGTAGGGCTTAGGCTTTGGCGTGTTGCGGTTTAGGGCTTACGGTAGGGGACTTTTTTCTTTGGAAGAAAAGACTGGGACACGTCTCTTCGGTGCCCTGCTGCTGCTTGTCGATTCAGCGGCTGGGCCAAGATAAGACAGAAGAAGCGAGACGGCTTACCGTTCACCACAGGAGGTTTCAGGGCTTCAGCGGCTTTTTGCCGTTCTTGCGTCCTAGGAACCGAAACGACCCGTCACCTTTAAAGCTCCGAGAACTGCCCCCCTCCCCTCCGAGCTCCGAGCCTCCAGCGTGGCGGAGGTCTCTGCAGCGAAGCTCCGCAGCTCCTCGGCCGGTCTCAGACGCTTTGCCCTCAGACTCCGCTGCTGACGACGTCTCCCTTTGTGCCTTGTGAAAGCCTCGAAACCCACGGCGCGCCAACGCCACTCCTCTGAAGCTCGAGAATCCTCTCAGTCGGAAGGGTCTCCCAAAACAGACGGGGCACGTGGAGTTGTGGAAGCCGTGCGAAGGTGGCAATGCCCGCGAAGCCTTGGCTTCTCAGAAACCTCCCACAAAAGAGTGAAATAATCCATCTGTGAGGTGCGCGGCTTTCGGGCTTCAGGGAGCAGGGTTTCAAGTGGATGAGACCAGTGCTGGAATGATTTGTTTGTGTTGTGTATCGTCTCAGCGTAGCTCAACCCCCTTCGGAGCCAAATCCTTCCAAGAATCTGACCGTTTTAAGACGAGCCCAGGTATAAGTCACTTCTGCTACGAGAGACGCCCCCATTTCCTTTCCACCAAGAAATTATTCCACTACGCCGAATTAGAACAAAGATCTGGACGGCCGGCTCCACCCCCTGCTGCCCCGCTGCTTTGATGGCGAGCACTTTGTCCCACTGATAATAAATCAGCTCAGGTACGAGGGTGAACCGACGGGGCTGCTGGCCCGAGTGGTGCGAGCTGGCCATCCCGGCGGAGGCGCACAACGCCGGCGTGCTCCTCAGGGGGGTTCCCGGACCGGTGCAGGCCTTAGGCCTTGGGGTTTATGTCTAGTTCGGTGTAGATGAACAGAGGAAGGGGAGATCTTGACGGTGGTCGTGCAGTCTTTTTTGTGAGCAGGGAAAAAAGTTTGTGGACTTAAGGCATACCCCCCAGGAATCAGGGATTGCAGAAGAGCTCAACCAAACTTCGACTGGACAAATCCGGCTTTGGCTTTGATTTCTCTTGGATGACAGCCTCGTCAATCATCACACATGTCAAGAACTACAACAATGATCTTTAGCATACTTGGTGAGCGCTAGAACCATCGTCGTACGACTGACCAAATACAGAGATGTTGACACAAGCCCAAAACCATAAGAACCTTTAACCCTGAACCTTGAGCCACGAATAACAGGCCATCACATGCAATACTGGATGCTTTACGCAGGATTACGCAGGATCTCAGACTCATGACGCGTTTAACTTAGGTTCTCGAGGCTTTGCGGCATCTGAATTTCAGGCACCTACCGCGGGAAACGCTGTGTGACACCGTTCACGGCCTAACAAACAATAAAGATCCCAAGCCACGCAATAAATCAAAAAAATCCGGTGTCCTTACGCAAGAACAACCACTCTGAACCTGAGCAGCCTCAGCATCGAAGCCAGCCGTTCTCAGACTCTGGACTCCCTGACTCCCTGCTTTCGCAACCCCTGAAACACGCAAGTCCTCATCGAAACCCTTGCAGAACCCTGACTGAAACATAGAACTCGTACTATAAAGTGTCCTATATGGGGGCCCCATACACAGGCCCTTAAGGAGCACCTGCCCAAGATTCTAAGACCTTTTCAGCTGTTCTCCTCGGTGACCAGGGGCTCCTGCTTCGAAGGCGGATCCTCGCCAAGCTTTCGGCTCTAAGGGTTTGCAGGGGGGTCTTAGGGTTTGGGGCCTTCAGGTTTTAAGGTTGAGGCTTCGAAAACTCACGCAGAACAGATGCCACCTGAGATCCTGTACTGAAGCAAACTAGCGCAAAACCCTTCGGGGCTTGCGAGTCGAGGCAGGTTGAGATCGAAACGGTGGGGACGAACAATCCCAAGTTCTGACTCCCACCAGAGAAATTCGATACTCCAGAATCTAGAACCCCACTACTAAGAAACCCTTCAAGAACCCAAGATAAGAAGCTCCTGCACACTAAATCCGAATCTAGGCCCCCGAGTTCCCCCCGCGTAACATCTATCTGTCTGAGTGTCTTTCATGAACCTTTCTACCACCCTCCCAAACTCCTTTGGCAGATCTGAAGAGCAGGCGCCCACGCTCAAGGAGCCTATTGGGCTAGAGGGTCCTTGAACCAGGCTATGGGTCCGTGCGTAGGGAACTTGGGGTCATCCGGGTAAACTTGGTGTACCAAATCAAAGTTGCGGACTAAGTGCTTCTTGCGGGCACCCCGTAGATTTTCCGTTTTTGGGACATATTCAGGGTTCGCGGCAGTGCTGTACACAGCGACCGGAGGGCTAAGCGAACTTTGAAGTCCAGGCGTCAGGGATGCCCAACGCACGACTTTTGGAGAGCGTCGCTCCGGGTCGGGGATTCAAGGCCCAGTGATGGTTTGGTATCCTTCGGTACCTTCCTGTCTTGGCTCTACATCTTTCCACCGCGAACCCTTGACCGAGAAGCACAAGAAACCCCAAAGCTTCAAAGCCCTAAAAAAGGCCTAATCCTTGACACACTCTCACAATTTGAGCCTTGCTTTCATCCCTAATTAGCCCTAATCCTTGCCAGTCGCATCAGAGCCTTCAGCGCGACGGTCGCGCCACTGCCAGGGCAGGGCCTCGGGCCTTGCATCGATCATGCCAGGGGTCCACTCGAAGTCCTGGGCCCCAGCCAGGCCAGGGCTTCTGGCGGCTTTTCTAGCAGGGAGCGGATTTGTAGTCCGGGGGCGGGGGTTTAGTTTAGGATTCAGGGTTAGAGGAAGTTGTCGGAGCTGCTGGGATCAGGAAATCTGGCTTCAAGGTTCAGACAGTGGGGTTTCGAGGTCTGGCTTGGTTTGCAGGATCTCGCCGCTTTATGAACACAAACTCATCCAAAAACAGGAAAAGTGGAGGACCTCAAACTCCATGAAACCAGGCGAAGGTTTGGAAGCAAGAGCAGTAGCACTCGCCGCGGTCGTCTAAGGCATCCTGGCAATAGTCAGCACTTGAACTTCATTGAGTGCTGAACCTCTGAAATGAAAGTTGGGAGAGCCTCGGAAAGGAACGAACTGGGGGCTGTCTACGAAGCGTGCCCTCCAGAATCGAAGCCGATGTTTAAAGCAAAAACTCTAACCACGACTCATGCTCACAACAAGACGCTACAGCCACCAACATCTCCTCAAATCCTTGTGATGGGAACTCCAAAACTTCCCTTTTGGGGCTTGCAGGTACGAACCTTGCTACAACGCCTAAACATGCCACAATCACTCAACTAACAGTCTCCTCATGCTACGAACACCCAATGTATACCAGAACACTGAGAAAACTACTGGTACACAAGGTATTAGTACTACACATCGTGCCAATACCATGAGCACAGACCATGATAACTCGACGCTATGACATCTTCGTAGCCAAACAGTCATATCAAAAAGATCCACCTCCTCGCGTCCAGCTCGAAGAAGGCATGGATAACAGTTGCAAACATACTGCCACCTTCATGGGTGCGGGTGGGGGGAATGTTTAGGGCTTCAGGTCAAGATTTGGCGGAAAGGTCCAGCTGGTCGGAAAATGCCTTCATAAAGGAACTGCAGTACTTATAATTACTTATAGAACATTTTTGTAAAAGCTTTTGGGTGTTAAAGGCTTAGGGCACTAGTTTCGAGTCTCCAGGGATCTGTAGGCTCATGCACAATTGACGCATTTCTCGAGCTCGAAATGCCGGGGTCCGGTATCAAACATCTCACTACACATGTCAAGCTTTGCAGAAAAGGCCCGTCGGAATGGAATACCACCAAAAGGCAAGCTGCATTTTGACAAGACTGCAGGTGCTAGCTACTTTCACGAATAATGCATGCTTTCGATCGCAAGTTCAACCGGCAGCAATAAGATCCCCATTGACATGTTTTGAGGAAAACAGGATACAAACCTAAAAACAAATAAATATGTATATATACACATATCATATATATATATATATATGTCGACATAGATGCGTGGGTAGGTATCGACGTGTTCATACTTCTACAGAAACGGTACATAGCAAACCGCACAAAGAGACGGTGAGAGCACCTTAGAGGTCAGCACCTTAAACTCTGCCCGAAACCCCACAGTCACTCAAGCGCAAGGCCACTTGTCTGCGCTGCAGCGGCACCCCAACCGTGGCTTTGCCAGCGGGTCATGGCCCGAATCCATCAGCGCTGCCCATAGCGGACCCTAGACCACACGAATGCAAAATGACACTGTTCTCGGGAATATTACATGGGCATGCGAAACGTGCTAACCGCGGACCACATCCACGGCTTTGGAAGACCCGGAAACCGCTTATCGCATAAGAGCTCCTCGCCTCGCAGTTGCCATGGACATGGCCTGCAATTGTCCGAACACGGCGCATGTTCCACACAATGGAGATGCACTGACCACCGAAACATGGAAGCTTTCAGCAGTTTGCTGTGCACCGGCTGCTTGCATGAACAAAAACATTCCTGTTGAGCATACTTTCAACCTCGACTTAGAATGTGCCGAAATAACATGTCATCGTGCCTGGCTTTAAGTTTGGGCGGAAGCTAAGCCAAAATGTATCACCGTGGCACGGGCAGATGCAAATGGGACAAACAACAAAACCCGTGGCTCTCACCGTTTCACAGTTTAATAAACAGCGAGTGTTTGACATGGACTTTTTGACCCCCCAGAGAGCTAGACATCTCTCACCGTCCAAACCCGTCCTCACCAGGCTCGTACTGCCGGTTTTGTTTCAAAGTCCAAAGGAACGGAAGATTGTAAAGACTGTTGGGAAGATAAGCGAACGTGAGACTGCGTGGTCGACTCCTGGCTGCAGGAGCCATGGGAACATAAGACTGCAGAGCTACTGGGGACTGCAGGCTTCAAGAACCACAGGAACGCAAGACTTCTGAGACTTTATACTTATTCCTCATGTGAAAAGTCGCATGCAAAACTGAACATCAATTGCGAATGTTTGGTCTGCATAAAATCTTCCCATATGACCAAATCGGAAAGCAATCACATTGTTGAATATTCTCGAATCAAAACTTACGACAATCAAAGGCACACTTCTTGTTTTCTGAGAGGACAAAGGGTCGGAACCTGTTTTTTGGAGGCGTCGCCTCCGTTGCAGGCTGATGCACACAAGGCTGTCGTGCAACAGCACGAGGTCAACAGCGTACGCACCCGTCATGACCCCGGGTAGTGGTGGAAATCGAAAAGTTTTTTGGTGCGTTTGGGTAGGACTAGCATGCGAGCAGAGCTGATGGGAGAGAGCCGAGTGGTCGGACTGTTGCAGGACAGCCTTGTATGCATCAGTGTGCCACATAGAAAGCGAGTCGCTCGGAGGCTTTAGCTGTTCCAGCGACATCACAAAAGTACTGTAAATACCGAGTAAAACGGCTCTTGAGGTGATATTGTTGGTTGTGTTTGCGTAACACTGTCGTCATCATCCCCCCACCCACCCCCCACCCCCCCCCAGAAGCAAGTCCAAAATCAAGAGGCCGAGTTTGCAAACTCGGCAAGTCGATTTTGAGGCTTCTTATGATGATCGTACATGACGAAAGTGCAATAAATACCGAGTAAAACGGTGGGGGGGGATGTGCTCTTAAGATGGTTTTGAGCAAGTGTAGTTGGTAGGGGGGACTACTACTACTACTACTACTACTACTACTACTACTACTACTCCTATTACTACTACTACACCTACTACTACTACTACTACTACTACTACTACTACTGCTCCTACTACCACTACCACACGATCACTACTACTACCACACCTACTAACTACTACTACTACTACTACTACTACTACTACTACTACTATTACAACTACTATTGTTATTACTACTACTACTACTACCAC